TTTTTTTTGCTAAAGCATCCCTTAATCAAATAGATGTCATCAAGCAAGTCACAAGTGACTTATATGGTGTTTTCAGTCACAAGATGAATATGATAAAGTCAAAAACTTATTGCTTAATGAATGTGCACCTCAATAAAGCTATAGAACTAAGCTAGTAGTAGGAATAAGCTTGACTAGTGACCTTAGGAAATACCTTGATATTCCCATCTTTCATGTTAGAGTTACAAAGCTTACTTTTGATCCCATCATACAACAAGTTAAGATAAAACTATCTTCTTGGAAAGATAAGTTTCTTAGTATGGCTAATAGAGGTATTCTTATCAAGTCTGTTATATCTGCTATTCCTAGCTACTCTATGTAGTCTATACTTCTATTAAAAGGTGTTCTTAATGAAGTAGATAAAAATAGTAGGGACTTTCTTTGGAACTAATTTGATGATTATAGAAAGATCCATATTATAGCTTGGAAGAACATTAAAATAGAGAAAAAAGAGAGGGGCCTTAGATTCAAAGATCTCAATATCCAATATAGAGCATTCATATTCAATCTTTATTAGAGTTTTCTTGTTAAGTCTTATTGTTTATGGGTTGAATGTCTTAAAGCCAAGTATAAATATGACATAAAAGGTACACTTAGAAGAGCATTGTGTCTGTGTGGGATATCCAAAGAACACCTAATCTTGGCGGTATGGATAACATTAGATGGCTTGGCTTTCCAATCGAAAGTTATTTTTTAAATCAGCTTATGATTTCATTTTGAGATTGGAGAGAGATCAATCTAACTTAAGGTAAGCTAAATTCTAAAGATAGTATATTTTTAAAAAAGTTAAGAAATTTTTATAGAAGGTGTCTCATGAGAGACTCCTAACTAATTCACTCAAAGCTAAGAGAAGTCTCACTAATAACAATTTTTGTCCCTTTGAGTGCTAATGGTGAGGAACATAAACTTTACTTCCTTCGTGTTTGTTTTAAAACAAATGTGAGGTGTAGGGAGTTTTTATTAACCATAACATGCTTCAAACTTTCTTTCCTAGTAATTTGCAAGCATGACTTTCTTGAAACTCCTACAATAACCTAAGAACAAATAAATGTAACTAATGGTCGTGGACCAAAATTTTTAGATTGGTTTGTTAGAATCGCTAGACACTAAGATGTCAGAGAGTGTTTAGGGACAACATCTATTTAATTTTAATAAATGAAATACTTTATAGTTGCTTTGCTTTACTCTTGGAGGTTACTAATAATAGAGTCATCTATTTTTAAAAAAGTTAAGAAATTTTTATAGGAGGTGTCTCATGAGAGACTCCCAACTAATTCCCTTAGAGCTAAGAGAAGTCTCACTAATAACAATTTTTATCCCTTTAAGTGCAATAGTAAGGAACATAAACTTTACTTCCTTCATGATTGTTTTAAAACAAATGTGAGATGTAGGGAGTTTTTATTAACCCTAGCATGCTTCATTTCCTAGTAATTTGCAAGCATGACTTTCTTGGAACTCCTACAACAACCTAAGAACAAATAAATGTAGCTAATAGTCATGGACCAAAATTTTTAGATTGGTTTGTTAGAATCTCTAGACATCAAGATGCCAGAGAGTGTTTAGGGACAACGTCTATTCAACAAATGAAATACTTCATAGTTGCTTTACTTTATTCTTGGAGGATACTGCTAATGGAGTCATCTATCATAAAAATTTTCAAGCTCATGAAGTCTCCTAAATGCAGTGGACATCCCCACCAACCAACACCGTTTGAATTAATTTGGATGCCTCAATTCACCAAAATCAGCATGCTTATTGTGATGGAGTAATCCTGAAATTTAGATGATAAGTGGATAATGGGATTTCAAAAATATCTTAGATTGATGAGCATTGCTACTATTAAACTACACGATATCAGAATAGGATTGGAACTATGTCAATAAATGGACTTACCTAGAGTGAACTTGTTCTCTAATTCCCTTGATGCTATGAATATCTTAATGAGGGATGAAGGAGCATTACGTAACAAGGACTTTACTATATTCCAATTGGGAGGTTAGCATATGGTCATATACCATGCATATAGAGAGAGTATCAATATGGCAGATTGCCTTGTAAAGAATGCCAAATAGAGTGGGCAACAATTTGCTGTTAATTAATTATATCCTTGATAGTTATAAGGAATTAATGTAGAAGGATTTAGGACATAACTATTAAGCTATGTTTTCTAGTGTTTTAGTTTTATTTTGATTTTGTAACTCCTCTCAAGCACTAAGCTTGCCCTTTATATACATATTTTTTAATTTACTTCTCTAACATAACCTTGGTAGGCCATAAACCAATCTTTGATTTCATCAAAATGCTACATAAGATTGAGAACATTGCAACTATATAATACTCACACATAAATGTAGTGAAACAGTTTATGGGAGCCAGTGGTAGAGCCATATTTATTGAGGGGTGCATAATGCATATGCCTCCCTCACTTAGGAAAAATAACATGTATAGGGTATATGTGTTCATTTTTTGCCATTTGCTTCCTCTCTTTTTTATACTTTGGATCCCTTAGTTTAATATTTTAAATAGAGCCGGTCATTGGGGTCAAGCTCATTGAGCTAGCTCAAACCCGCCTAAAAAAAGTTAGGGCCGTGCTTAGCTATATTGGCTTTTTTAAGAAAGTATGATACTTTAAGCCCAATCTAAATAAGCCGGCCCGAATTGAGTTTGACCTGAATAAGCCCAACCTCTAGAATTTCTAGGTCTATATGTTTATAGATTTAATAATTTTGGCCAAGCTTGACAAGCCGACCCGAACTCAGCTGAAAAAAATTAGAGCCAAGCTTAGTTATATAGGCTTTTTTAAGAGTATAGAATACTTCAAGTCCTACTTGAATAAGCTCAGCCCACCTGAATTATCAGCTCTAATTTTAAACTTCAAACCCATTTCAATTTTACATTTAGCCCAAATTAAAATTCAATTGTTTTACTCAAAGGCTAATGAATATTAGCCCATAATTTATCATACTTAAATATCAATATTAATTATTAATGCTTTAAAAAATATAAGGAAAAAACTAACTTGTCTAAACTATACCTGCGTCATCCTCATCCTGAGAATACTAGTCAGTAAAAAAGGCAACAAAGAATGATGATTTAGTGGATTCTGAAGAGACAGAAAGGTTTTCTTTATATCAAGGTCTTAGATCCGCCCCTTAACCTAAGATCCTAGCTCTGACACTAATAGGGGTTAATGGACCATCACAAATACATCTTTTATTGATCTATTAGGCGTCATGTTGGAAATATGTCGTAAGACTACATGGACCTGTCTTAGTCACCTTAGACTTCAGTTGGTCCTTTTATTTACCCACATTCTTTAGTGATGTCATAATTTTTTAAAAGTAATGTAAATATTATACAAAACAACCGAAAATGTAATGTACAAAAATTTCAATTGTGCCAAAATATTTTTAAAATTTGATAAATATTCATATACTTCTCTTACATCATGTTTAGTTTAAGGGGAACAGAGATGAGAAGAAAGGAAGGAAAAGAAAGTTTTAAATAAGTTTGATTTTAATAAAAATGGATAAATGAGATTATAAATTTTTAAAATGGAGGAAATACAGGACAAAAATGGTATGAGCCTTTTTTTTTTTTGAAATGATCAATTTAAACACACACTCATGCACCCAAGTGTCAAAGCAAGGTTTAAACCTTTGACTTCATGCTCGCAGAGAGGTGGCACTATCATTGAGACAACTTGCCATTGGCATGCCAATTTTTTATTGACATATATATTTATATCTCTAAAAGTCTATTTAATATAAACAATAACTATTCAGTTAAATTCCATTTTACCACCACTTCAATATTCAAATCCTTAATAAAATTGGATACCTAAAATGAACCTTAAGTCAAAATGTAACATGAGATATAGATGAAGAGGTGGACTCAATTTTAGCACAACTCAAATTGCTTAGTTAAAAAAAAATTCAATTTCTCTTAAATAAAATCAAGAATTAAAGGCAAGTTAGTCCCTAAACTATAGATTCAGGAATGCTTAAAATTCTAAACTTGTTTTTTGTATAATATTCCCCTCAATTTTTGAAAACAATGTAATATAACTCCCATTATTGACAAAAATTAACAATGACCGATAATTAACTAGAAAATGATAAAAAATAATCCTAAAATTATAAATAAGGACTCAAAAAATTAGAAAAAAGATTTTGGTTCTTTTCTTTAATTTGTAAGGCACTCTCTTGTCATTTTTTAGTTAATTAATGGTTAAATTTAACTTTTATTAATGTGGTAGGGCAATATCGTATAGTTTTTAAAAGTTAAAAAAAATATTATAAAAAAAATTTAGAGTCATATTGTTATTTAACCTTGAAATAAATGGCTTAAATCTTATAAATACAAGAAATAGGTTAAGAGAATTACTTCTTTATGAACTGCTCAATACTCAAATAGACAGTACAAAGTTCCAACTAACTTCAAATAATCATTAACAAAAAAATCTTTTTATATGCTTTTTTTTTATTTCAAATTATAAGATATTTTTGGAGAAGATTCAACATTTTAAAAGATATGTTAATAAAAATAAGATTTCATTCTCTACCAACCAAAAACAAAAGATTTCAATACTTTTTCAATAATATTACTCCTATTTCATTTTCTCTATTTAATATTTTCATAAATAGAATATTAAATAAGAGCATTTTTGAAAATTTTTATTTTTATTTTAAAAAATAAAGTTATAATATATATTTAATGAATTTTATTAGTATGCATAAATTTATCTAAAAATATCTTATAATTTAATATATATACATACATATATATATATATATAATTATATTTTCTTCCTTTCCTGTTTAACCTAAGGTGCATGTATTTCATATACTAATCAATGCATTTTATTTCTTACACGATAATTTAATGCGTAAAATTATCAGGTAAAAATGAAAAAAACATTTAAAAAAAAAAACATTCTCTGGTTCAATGCACCGGCGTGTGCGCATATACACCATGAGTATAGCTGATTCTACTGTAAAAGAATACCACCGAAAAAAACTCTTTAAATAATCGCCTCACTCTCTCTCTCTCTCTCTAATCAGAATATGACCGACTTGGACTCCTACCCTCCAGCCCTGCGCCACCACTTAATCAGCCACCACCCATCCTCCGACGACGACCGCCGCCGCCGCGAGGAACCAGACTTGGACGGGATCACCACCGGTTCGCATGCCGTGCCGGTGATAGATCTCGAATGCTTATTGAACGAAGATGACGAGATGATGAAGAAGCTGGACGAGGCTTGCAAGGATTGGGGGATATTCCGGTTAGCCAATCACGGAGTTCCGTTAACCCTGATATCCCAACTTCACGACGTTGCCAAACAGCTATTTTGCATGCCCTTTGAATCCAAACACGCCTCCTTTGGTGATGGTAGTGGTGGCCCAGTTGTTTACTTCTGGGGTACCCCTGCCCTAACCGCGGCCGGGAGAGGCGTATCTGGAGATCCAAACAAGATCAATTTCTTTGAAGGATTCAATGTTCCACTGGCACCACTTCATGAGTTTCAGCCTCAGCTTCCTCTGCTTGAGTGTTTCAGGTGAGCACATGTACTACATCATTGATAATTATAATTTTATTTTTTCTTTTAAAAAAAAAGAGTCGGTGAGTAAAATAAATTTTCATTAATAATAATTATTTTAATATTACTTTACTAACATTTTTAAATAATTTTTTTCTTATTAATAAAAAATATTTTTAAATTTTATAAAAAAATTAAAATTGTATTTAATTAATCTCTTTTCTCTTTTTAATTAAATGTATCATTTTTTAAATATGTTTTCTATTTCATACTATATCATGGTATGTAATATCTTCTTATTCTATTTATAAAAAATATAAATAAAAAAATTAAAGAAATACTTAATGATATAAAAATAACTTTAAGAAAGATCACAAATTTTTTTAAAAAAAAATTTATAAATTACAATACTTCCTCCATTTAAAAATATAAAATATTTTTTAAAAGATTAAATATTAAAAAGTATAAAATATTTTTAATCTTTTAAATATTTTTTTAAGATATCTCTATTGATAATAATTTTATATTTATTATAAGATCTTTAATGAAAATAAATATTAAAAAATAAAATTAATTTAAAAATAAATAATTATTTTATTATTTTATTAAGAGTAAAATTTAATTAAAAATATTTTATATTTTTTAATAAAAAAATATGTAAAAAATGAGGAAATTTATATTTTTTATAATATTATTTATATAAAAATTAGAGATCACGGGTGTTAGCTTTGAGGGTGTCCCTATAAACCTAGAAAAATGGTCTGTTCTAGCGGACAGGCGCCTCAATATCCGTAAAATTCAGTGATAATGGTCATTTTGTCATTATTAACTTTAATGCCATCCAGTCACAGTACTTCCTCTAATTTTTAATATAAAAACTATTTTATAATTATTAAAAGATAATAAATATAGGTGCATTTAAATTTATTACTTCTCACTTTTTAAAAGTTTTTTTTAACTTTTTAAATGTTAAATATTATTTAAATAATTATAATAGGTGCAAATTAATATTGTAAAAGAATTTTGATAATTGATTTAAAAGTGGATTTCATAACGTATAATTTGAAAGTTTTTTAAAAGTCTTTTCCAACTTTGTTACAAGGTTTTAGTCTTATTTATAAGATAGAAAGTATTTATTTTAATTCTATTTATAAAAAATTTTAATAATTATTGTATTCATTTTTATCATTTTATCTTATTAAATGTTAGGAAATTTATTAAATGTTAGAATATTTTATTTTTTAAGTATGTATATTTAATAGAGGTAAAGTTAAAAATTTATTAAATATATTTTATTCTATTACAATTTTATAAACATTTTTAATATACTACATTTGTATAATAAAAATTATAAATTATCATAAATTAATTTTTTTTGTAATTATACATTCAAAAGCACATTTCACTATCATAATTTAAATAACTTTTAGCGTATCAAACTGATTTTTAAAAAATATATATTCAAATATAAATTTTATTATAACAGTTGATTTTTATTAAATTGGCTTTTGCCAAATAAACTTTCAATGGACTTTTAACAAATTTAAAACCCAACATGTACTTACTTTCTAATTTTATTTTTTAATTAATAATTCTGATAAATTATTATTTAGATATTCAAATAATAATAAATAGAAAGGACAAAATTGTAAAAACATTAATTATTGTAATTTTACTTAATATTGAGGATAATATTAAGCACCATAGGAATATAGGGCAAGCTTATATTTAAATTGGAAGAACTATACCCAGGTATCAAAAAAGAAAATTAATTATTCTTTCAGTTATTTACAAATAAATTTTTATACTTACATGTTAAATTTTTTTATTTAAAAGTACATTGTAAATAGAATTTATAAGTAATTAGTTTTTTTACATGAAATATATATGTAATTTTATGTTTAAATTTAGGAAAATTAAAAATAAAATCTTTTTGAATTATATAAATCACACTCTGGTCCCTAAAATGTTATACTTTCGTTAAAATTTTTAGGAACTTCCATGTTAATAAATTTTAAATTAAAAATATCATTTTATATTTATTGACAAGTTATGATTTATTCAATTTTTATAATTTTTTAAATAAAAGTTATTATTTTTTAAACAATAGTTATGATTGAAATTTATTATTTTAAAAACTTATTTTTTAATAACATAAATTACATTTGATAAGTTTTTTTTAATTCTTATTCAATTCTTGCAATTCATAGAATAAGAGTTATTTTTTTAAGAAAAAATTGTGATTGAGGCTTATTTTTCAATAATAAAAATTATATTTGACAAGTTGTGATTTTTTGTTCAAACACTCATGTAATTTGCAGAACAAAAATTATTATTCTTTACACAAAAATTGTGATTAATACTTATTATTTTCAATAAAGATAAAATGGCCTTTTTACTTTAAGATTTACTGGCACAAAAGTCTTTGAAAATTTAAGTAAAATTATAATATTTTGAGAGACTAAATTGTTATTGATAAAATTCAGAGAGATTTTATTATCATTTTTTCTTAAATTTATCATAATGAAATCATGAAAAATAATTACAAAATTATTGTAAACATGCCAGAGCTGTGCTGTTCGAGTATGGAAAGCACCTTTCAAGAATAGTGAGATCTTTATTTGAAGCAATGGCGAAGAAGCTGGATCTGAGTATAGAGAAGTCGATGATGAGCTCGTACGTGGCAGACAAGAAGACAGGGTTCATGCGAGTTTATCGTTATCCTCGAAACCCTAATTCAGACAACAACGTTGGTTCTTGGGGCATGGAGCCTCACACAGATAGCTCTGTGCTGTCCATTCTGAACCTCCATGCTCAAGATTCTGGACTCGAGGTCCTCAGAGATCATCAATGGCTTCCTGTTCAGTCCATTCCCAATACTCTCACTGTCAACATTGGCGACATGATGCAGGTGACGTATTTGCAAATCTTTCCCCAGCCCACAACATGTTCTTGTTGGTATAATTAAATATAGGAATAATATAATTTTTAACCTTTAAATTTCTTTTTAATTATCGATTTAATCACAGAAATTTTGATTTGATATAATTCAGTCCTTAAAAATTATTGGGTTAATTAAACATTGTAAGGATTGAATTGTATTGAATCAATAAACTATTATAACTGAATTGTTATCCATTAAGAACTATAGCCAGCAGGAATTGGATTGTTCCGGTTCAAGGTTCACTGACGGAATCGATAATTAAAAATAGTTACATTTTTTCTTAAATGTAATTTGATTATAATTAATATCTACTATATTTATTATTGTAGATTGGCTTTGTATGTCAAGTAATTACATAAGAATGGGCACTTAGCCTGTCGTGTGCTGATCAACCCAAAGCGTGTCTGGGCTTTTTGATTTACCTCAAAATGATCTATACTGTTCATTTTAAATTAATTTTTAAATATCTTTTAATATCAAAATAAAAATTTTTAAAATTATAAAAAAAATTACTATTAAATATAAATTGTTTTTGTGCCCATTTGTAATTTTTTTTAATTTTACAAATTGCCTATCCAAATTTATTTTGGACAATATAGATATAATCTAAGTGGTTTAATGTAATATTAAAATTTTTTACAATTTTTCTAAATTTTTATTTTAATAAATAAAATATTAAAAATACTTAAAAATTAATTTAAAATGAGCACGGTGTTCATCATTATTGATTTCAATATTTAGACCTCCCTAATTTCAAATTCTAATATTTTGATCTTCAGACTCTTGGCTTTGCCACTGTTAGAGTCTCCTTTTTATTCATCATATATAAACCCTTATATGCTAAATAAATAAATAAATGTGGCATGATTTACTCTCAACCCCATTATCATCTTGTTCTTGTGAGTGTTTCTTGCTCTTTGTGGTTTTCGTTAGTTTCGTGTCTTGTGTATATGCTGAATCAATGGATCATAGACGTCATAATCTTCTTGTTCTGAATTGTGCATTTGATGGAAAGAAACAGGCGATAAGTGATGATAGATACAAAAGCGCGTTGCACAGAGTGAAGATAAACCAAGAGAAAGAGAGAATCTCAGTGTGTTACTTCGTGTTCCCAGACGACGACCTTGTCATCCAGAGTTCCAACTACAAGCCCTTCACGTACAGTCATTTCAGATCACAAGTCCAACACGACATCAAAACCATTGGTCATAAAGTTGGACTCTCAAGGTTCGCTCATCAAACTAGCTAATGGCCATCATCATTAATGAGTGATCTTCACAGACAAAATAGTATGTATTTGAGAAATGAAATTAAATAATATTGTACTTCCTCCGTCTCAAATTATAAGACCTTTTTAAATAAAATATTACATACTAATAAATTTTATTAAATATACTTAATAATTTTATCTTTCCAAAATAAAAATATGAACTTTCAAAAATACCTATCATTTAATACATTAAAAAGAGAATGGATAAAAATTAATTATAGAAAGAGAAAAGATAATATTAAAATTAATATATTAAATAAAATTTTAATCTGTTCAAAATGTCTTATATCTTAAGATGAAAAAATTACTTTAAAAATGTTTTATAATTTGAGATGAAAGGAGTGTAACAGAATGTGTTTCTCTCTTCCCTATAATTATATTTTGCTTCCATGTACTCGATCAGAGGAAAAATACACCCAATATCTGAGATACATACATACATAAATACATATGTATATATATTGTTTGTTTCATTCTCTAGGCGTCCAAATCCTATGATAATTTCAACGGTAAGATGGGCTTATTTTTTTAAGAGGATTTGAACAATCTAAATTTACTTTAAATGGGTTAATTTTTTTTCCGTATTTTTAAGAAAAAAATACTAATTTTATTTGGATGGTGACAAACATACATGAGAGTAAATCTTCTAAAGTTGATATTCATGTTTCTGTGAAGTGTTTTGTTGATATTTTTCTCACTTTATATTTTTTTTTATAAAACACACTAAAATATTATCGCTTTTTTTTTTAAAATAACAAACTTTGCACGAAAATGTTTTGTTAATTTCAAAACATTTGTTCTCAATATATATAAATATATATATATCACGTGAATTAAAAAATTCACACAGTATATTCCGGTGGGAGTGAGTGCCCCTTTCAAAGCATTATTATTTACAAAATTAATTTTTAATAAATTATTCTTATTCTTCTTTTATTATTAAAAATCATATATTTTGATTTGAATGTTTGAAGAAAAAATAAAAATTGAAAAACAGTTTTCTTTTTCCCCATTCAAATTTGTGCATAAAGTCATAAAACAAATGAAACCCGAGACCCTGCACAATTGGGCTTCAAAGCCTATTGCTTTCTTCTTGACAAAGCAGCCTAAATTTAAGATGAGTAAAAAGGATTTAATTCCTTTTCAGTGAGATTGGATGCACAAGAGAAAATAAAAAACTATCTCTAGATTAGACTTGACGATGATCAAAATTGACTCTATAATATAGGATTGTATATGGGCAAGGCTGGGCTAGCATAGCCCCTACCTTATGTCTAGCTCAAAGCATGAATAGATTGCATTTTTCGACCTACTACCAAGCCTTGCTTGTGGAATGCCTAAGCATTTTGGGCTGAGCAATACAGGCTAGGTAGTTTTTGGTTGCCCCGTCGTATGTGAAGAATACTTCACCAAATCAAATCTAATAAACATCTGGAAAAAAGAGGAGCATGAGAAAAATTATAAATTAATATGCCACAAATTAAACAAGAAAAGGGGAGAAAAGAAATATACTTGTAAAATGAAAGGATGAAAGAAAGAAATAAACATAATGAAGTCCTAACACTAATAAAAACTTTAGAAAAGTTGATTTATGCATAGAATTTTTTTAATAAAACCATAATTTCAATGAGAGGAGTCAAGAATTATTTGAATTTCTTAGAAGTACTCCCTCATTTCACTATCGCACAATTTAACATTAACCTTTGAAATACAAAAAAATAAAAATAGTATAAATATTACATGTGTATATATATATTGTTCAGGCAAGGCTGTGTGAGTAAGACAACATATATACCTTGCCCACTGTCCAGCTTGGCCTAAACATGCCCTTATAAGATGAGCATCTCAGGCAGTTGGGCTACATGAATGGTCCTATATGGTATTGCATATAAGATCATCAATTAATTCTAAAGTTGTATAATTTTTTAATAAAATATATAAAAGTTCCTGATTTCATTTTTTAAAATAAAAAATTCAAAGATTTTAACTTTCAGGAATTAATGAATGTAAAGGATCAAACTATAAGGATCCGATTAAAATAAAATAAATTATAATGACTTAATTTAAAATTAAGAAAAACTATGATGACTCGTAGATCAATTTCCCTTTATAAAAATAAAAATGTTAAAGTTTAGAAATAATGAGTCAAAAGGAAGTAGGAAGATGCTGATTGTTGCTTAAAGTGTAAGAAACATCCAAAGCAATTGAAGATTTATTAATGGGTCATCCAATCTGTCTTGTGAGAGTCGGGAGAGTGATGGGACAAAGAGTCAACTTTGTCTTTCCATAGTCGAATGCAATTGATAGCACAGTTTCATTTGTGGGCAATTTGAAACACACGGATGGAAGAAATCCAACATCCAACAACTTTTGTTGAATAAAACAGGGCCGCGTATAATTATCTATGGCAATAGTGAATGTTACATATGTTCTTTTTGTCAGTCTAGTTATGAATCTTTTTCGACTCGCTTATTTATTTCATGTGACTCTGCCAGAGCTTGTTGGTTTGATTCAATGCTTTATATTAGCACGACTATATCTGGTGGATATATGGGAGATGAAACAATGGATATATAAATCATTGGTTGCAAATATACTTGCATCATTTGGATCAATCTAATGCATATGTTCCAACCATTAATCTTCCTTTGATCTTTTAGATTTTGTAAGTAAAAGAGTTCCTATGCAAGTAGCCATTGACACTGTGCTACGAGCATAATTTTAAAAAAAAAACTCATTCTAGAATAATAATAGTATATTAAATAGAAGAGTCCATTTAACTTATAAAAAATCACATTTCACTTGTGAAACTTTTTAATATGAGAGTCATAACAATGTTATCTTACTTGAGAGCCAACATTCTTGACAATTTTACTCTACTACACTTCAGTGGCCTCTTGCAGCTACCTTTTCCACAATGTTATAAGTTTAAGGAGAGAGCTTAAAAAAAAAAAAACTAACATGTTAGGTGTAAGAGTTTCTTGAAATAATTATAAATTACACTGTACTTGTGAGATTCTATGATGTTTAGACTCATAACGCAATACAATTGCACTCACTTACTCATTCATAAACATGCATATAAATCAAGTGATAGTAAGGCTAACACAAGAGTCAATAAGGAAGATGGTTATCCATCAAGTGATGATCTTCACATTCATAATTCCTATGACTGGTATCATACATTTTCAACTGCAACGTCGTAGTAACTATAGAATACCACGAATGTGAATCAGTATGTCTTGGGGGAAAAATCATTTACATACGTTGTGGTCTGATGTAAAAGTTTCAGCTACAAGCTCTAACAACGTGAAGTTGTGGTGTTTCTTGCTAAATCAACGCACTATCTTCGATATGTATAATTATTAGGGGAAATTGGTAAGAAAAAACATTAAAAATATGTGGAAAAAAAGATCAAGTCCTTGAAGTGAATTGATATTAAATGAATTAAGGTTTAAGGTTATAATATTAATTCATTTGAAGGATCTTGGGCTTCTTCTAAGCAAATTTATCTCTTAGTCCTTCTTAGCAATTTTCGTTTTTCCCTAATTATCAATTACATGTAGTTCTCTCTCCAAAAAAAAAAAATTGCACTCTACCTTTATTAGCAAGTTGCTTCATACCAAGCTACAAGGCCTCCAACAAGACACTGAAACCATTCTCTCGAAGTTTCAGTATGTTTTTTACGCTGTTTGATTAATATTGTACTTCTCTTGTTGAAACCATTCTCGCGAAGTTTGTTTCTTTCTTTCTTTCTTTTTTTTGGCCCTTCATTTTATAAAGCGTTTGCCGCACACTTTGTCCACACATGAATAGTACATTTCCTTTTAAAATTTTAGAGCTTGTAATCTGCCGAAGTCACTAAAAAAAAATTAAAATCAAGCTTGACTATATAAAATTTTTTTAAAAAGTATAATACCTTAAGTTCAATTTAAATATGCCTGGCTCAAATTGAGCCTAGTTTAAATAAACCCGATTGCCAGAATTACCAACAATCCTTTTTGTATATAGAGTCACTAATTTTAGTCAAACTTGATCAGTCAACCTGAACCTGATCAAAAAGTGTTAAGATTAGACTTAACTATATAAGCTTTTTAAAAAGTATAAAATACTTTAAGTCTAATCCGAATAAATCGACTTGAATTAAACCCTGTCCAAATAAGCTAGACCAACTGAATTACTAGCTCTATAAAATTTTATATCATACATGAATACATTTTTTATGAGAGCAATTATATTAAAAAAGTAAAACCAAAATTACAAATTAAAATGTTCAAAACTTAATCTTAAAAACAAAAGCAGAAAAAGAGAGTTTGTAATTACTATAACTAGAGCTACACTTCAAGAAAGTCACATGCGAGAACAGTTGGAGCATTTGCTTTATATCTTGGTAAATTGTGCTTTGTCTCAGAGGAGGAACTAGATTTCTTTTGTTGAGCTTTAGCACCAAGTCTTCAAATTAAATAGAGGAATCTCAATGATTTCACCAGAAGCTATAGATACAAAGGAGTAAACTATGAAGACAAACCATCAAGAAGATATCCAGTGCTATCATATTTGAACCATGAAGGATGAGATGTTGAAGTTCTGTACCATTCAAAGAGATGTTTGCTAAACAATAAGGTTTCTTCATTTTCTTAAACTTGCATATGTGAATTTCTTAATATGGCAACCGATGCAAATCTTCCAATCCCCAATCATTTGCAAGCTCTGTTTTTTGTATATGATGCCTTGAAAGATCTAAACTATTAGTATGTGCCCAATTACAAACAGATCTAATGAAGAATAAATCTTACTTAAAATCCTAGATGAAAGATTCAACTAATCCTATTTTATTAAGATGAAGGGTAAGATTCCCGAATTGTCAAATTTTATGAAGTAAGAGAAAACTACTTTCTAACAACTCTATTTCAAGTTGTGTTTGTAGTATATATTACCTAGTGCATAGAAATAGACTTAAAAGTCATAAGTAAGAACAAGGCAGACTGCTCATACTTGAATTTTTTGAGGGTTGTTCTTTGGAAAAAAAATAATTTTTGCATAAAATGACTTTTAGGTTTGGTCTTATAAATTTTTTATAAATGGGTTCAAATTCAGGTTAGGGTATGAGAATACTTATTGATACAATGACAAGTATCAGTATGAAATCAAGTGAAATTACTATTTTGTGTATATTAGTTGCTACAATGCAATGGCAGTATTTATTAATTAAATAATAGTTTCTTATTAAAATGGGAAAGGGAATTGTTTTTCCCCAAAGGTGATTTGTTCTTCAGATTTCAACACTTGGTTCTATAAATGAAAATGACTGTTTTCTGAACTTGTTAATTAAAGAATTCATTGTTGTTAGAAGGGAATGGTGACTTGTTATTTTTCAAGTGATGATTGTTCACCAAACCAAGACAATTGTTGCCCTTCTTCACATGGTTAATCTTCTAGACTTGTTAATTAAAAAGTTAATTGGTGTTAAAAGGGAACGATGACTTGTTATTTTTTAAATGATAATGTATTCACTATACCAAGACATTTTTTGCTCTCCATCAAATGGTTAATGTTACAAACTTGTTAGATAGAGAATTATTTGTTGTTAAACTGAAATGGAGTTTTGCTTTACTGCAAATGATCACTTGTTCACCAAATCAAAACACTTATTGTCCTCTATGAATATTTTAATTTATCACACTTTGTTAATTAAGGAATTTATGCTTGTTGAAATCAAATGAAGTCTTTCCTTTCATGAATTGTCACTTGTTCAACATACTAGAACACTTATATCTTCATAATTTTTTGCACTTGTTAATTATAGAATTATTTGTTGTTGAAATGGATTGGAGCTTTGTTTTTCGTGAATGATCATTTGTTCACCAAACAAAAATATTTATTGGTTTCAATGAATATTTTATTTTTTTCACTTGTTAATTAGAGAATTTATTCTTGTTAAAATTGAATGAAATCTTGTTTTTCTCAATTAGTCAATTGTTCACTAGACAATGATAGTTATTGCTCTCCATGAATATTTTAATTTTTTGCACTAGTTAATTAGAAAATTTGTTGTTGTTAAAATCAAATGGAGTCTTATTTTTTCATAAATTGTTACTTGTTCACCATACCAGAACATTTGTTGATCTCCATGATTTTTTACACTTGTTAATTAGGGAATTAAAATGGAATGGAGTTTTGTTTTTTGTGAATAATCACCTGTTCACCAAACAAAAATAGCTATTGCTCTCCATAAACATTTTAATTTTTTGCACTAGTTAATTAGAAAAATTATTCTTTAAAATCAAATGGAATCTTGTTTTTTCACAAATGGTCACTTGTTCACCATACCAACACACTTGTTGATCTCCATAATTTTCTACACTTGTTAATTAGGAAATTATTTGTTGTTAAAATGGAATAGAGTTTTGTCTTTTGCAAATGATCACTTGTTCACTTGACAAAAATAGTTGTTGCTCTCCATAAACATTTTAATTTTCTACACTTGTTAATTAGAAAATTTATTCTTTAAAATCCAATGGAATCTTATTTTTTCACAAATGATCACTTGTTCACCATACCAGAACACTTGTTGATCTCCATAATTTTTTGCACTTGTTAATTAAGAAATTATTTGTTGTTAAAATGGAATAGAGTTTTGTGTTTTTTTGCAAATGATCACTTGTTCACCTGACAAAAATAGTTGTTGCTCTCTATGAACATTTTAATTTTCTACACTTGTTAATTAGAAGATTTATTTTTGTTAAAATTGATTGGAGTCTTATTTTCTCAAATAGTCGCTAGTTCACCAAATAATGACAATGAAAGTTGTTACTCATCATGAACATTTTAATTTTTTATACAAGTTAATTAGAGAATTTATTCTTGTTAAAATCAAATGAAGTCTTATTTTTTTCAAAAATGGCTACTTGTTCACCAAATCATAATGCTTATTACTTTCCATGAACATTTTAATTTTCTATACTTGTTAATTAGATAATCTATTCTTGTTTAAAATTGAATGGTGGCCATATCCTTGTCAATTACTTATTACCAAAATCTAGAAGGCTCAAAACACATAATAATGCATCATATTATTTTCTAAAAGAGTCCCAATAAGTAGAACATGAAGTTCAAGCACAAGGATTGATGTGAACTTAACGAAAAAAGGGGGGGGGGAGTCAATCTATTGTTCAAGGCAACACTTGCGGCAAGGTTATTTTTTCCATAGTTAATCAAAGATCAATGTTGAAGATTAAAGGTGAAAAGAGTGTGTAGGACATCTTTCTTATGTTATTATATGTTATTAGAATGTATAGTACTAAGACAAGAAAATATCTCAATAATGACACTTAAAAACAAATTGCAAGGTTGGAAGCCATACAAACCATCACTTGGAATCACATGAAACATAGGAACGAAATCTAGAAGATAGAAACAAGAAAAAAGGGGAACATAAGAAAAGAAAAGCAAGGTGATTTGATTCATACCCTTTCTGATGACCTAACGGCAAGTGTGGGACTGAAGAAGTGAAGTGTAGGGTGAGGTTGAAGATGATGGCGTGGGTGTCAAGAGTGAGGATGCATATTGGGAGAGGGTTATCACTTTTTTTAAAAAAAATTTTAAACATCAAGGGCAAATATATATTTTGAATATTAGAATTAATTTTACTTATAAGACTCAATGGATTGCAATATTAAATCAGAATTTATTGATCCACAACTATGAATATATTGTTTCATGGTTCTTTGATTATGATTTTTTCTAAAAAATATCTTGTATATTTTGAAGGGAGTTAGTAAGTAATTTTAAGCATGGCCAAAGGAGTTTGCAGGCAACTTTGCCCTGCCAATTGCCGAAAGAAAAGTAAAATGGTGGCCCCTTGGGCTGGCCATTACCCTCAATTGCTCAAAGCTGTCCCTCTCCGGATACGGACCTCAGAATTTAGCCCTACCTCCGGCGGGCCCCACACTCTCATACTTTTCGTAGATATGTTGGATGGGCCCTCCTGTCCCCTGACTTGTCACGTGACCCCACTCGACACGTGTCAACCCCTCCTCCCCTCCCGTATAAAACCAACCGTCCTCACTTCGTCTCCTCCTTCAAATCACCTTGTCTCTCCGCAAATGAGCCACGACCTAGACTCCTCTTACCCTCCGCCTCTCCGCCACGTCGGCCACCGTGAAGATGACGACGAGCCTCCCGAATCCATCACCGACTCAGATCCAGTTCCAGTGCCGGTGATCGACCTTCATTGCCTGAACGACGACGTCGACAAGGACGGGGAGGAATTGCGGAAGCTAGACGAGGCTTGCAGGGAGTGGGGAATATTCCGTCTGGTGAACCACGGCGTTCCTTTAGGGCTAATGGCGGAGGTGGAGGAGCTGACAAAACGACTGTTCTGGATGTCGTTTGAGTCGAAGAAGTCGTCGTGCGAGGAAGGGCCTGTGAGTTACTTTTGGGGCACGCCTGCCCTAACTCCGTCGGGCAGTGCCCTATCGGGAGGCCATCGAAAGATCAATTTGGTGGAAGGCTTCAATCTGCCTCTAAGTCAACTGTCGGAATTTCATCCACAGCTTCCTCTGCTTCAATCCTTCAGGTAATTAAGCCTCACGTCACCGTTGCAAGATATTTTATTTATCGTAATTAATAAAACCTCACGTCTATATATATATATATATCTATATAATATTCAGACTAAAAAAAAATACATATATATATATATATATATAATATAAGGCATTTTGTTTTATTTGATTTGAATAATAAGAAAAGAGGAAGCTAGCATTGGAGATGATGATACTTTGTCTTTAGTATTTGAATTGAACCGTGGAGAAGCATCTTAAAAGATGATATTTATCTTATGCTAAAAACAAAGATGATATTTATGTTATATTGGCATGTTCTTCAAAATATCATTTTAAAAAATATAAAATATTTTAATGCTTTCCAGTTGTAATTTTTTAAGAATGTTATAGGTGTAATTAATAAGACTTTTTAATTAATACGTACATCATATTAAATAAGGATTAATATATAAAGAATATATAATTTTAAAGACAATCAATTGATTCATTGAAAGTGTCATTTGATTAAAAATTTCTTAAGGACTATCGATTAATCAATTGAAAGTGTAATTTGGTTAAGAAATTTTCATAATAATAAATGAAAAGAGTAATTATTTACTTGTGCACACATATAGAGAGAGAAGTAAAAAAGATCTCTAGAGCGTGTTTGTTTATGTAACATGCCTATCTTGGTCTTTTTTTCATTGCTCCCAAATTATACACTATTTCTTTAAATTTTGAATCATGTATACATATATAACCTCATTAATCTTTAAAATTTTACAATGAATCTTGCTCAACTTTTATATTTTTACAGATAATTTTATATAATTAATTTTATATATTAATTATCTACACATAATTTAAAATTTAAATGAGTTATTGGTATATCAATCAAAAAGTTTAGGAATGTTGTGTGACTCATTCTTAAATATAAGAGTTAACTTACAACTTCCGCTTTTATATATAAAATCTCCATCACTTTTATCTACCTCATTAATTTTTTCTCAAACCATCTCTATTTATTGCATAGTTTTTCACTGCAAACGAAATTAATAAATGGAAATAAATCAATACTGAGAGGGGTACTTGAGAAGAGTATCATGAATCAATACTAACAAGTTTTATTTATGCCTCACTTTTAATATTTTTCATTGAAATTAAGAAAACTTTGAAAATGAAATTTATTAACTTTATTTAAAAATTTAAAATTTTTATCTTTCTCGTAATAAATACATTCTTAAAAAATATTCTTATATTTCTATACATCAATATTAAACTGGGATAAAAAGAAAAAAATTATATTTTACCAAAAAAAAGAAAAAATTATAATAAATAATCAATATGATGTTTTGTAAAAAGAAACACGCAATCTTTATTATTGTAAATAGGATTAGATAGAGCAATTTCTAACACCTTTCTCTATCTTGCTCGAAAATTTCCATTTCTCAACCTTCCTTTCTGATTCTTTCTTTATCTCTATAATTACAATATTAGAAAAATGTGTATTTTTCTCACCCAACCTTACCTTCCTATCTCCATAAAATCATTATTTTTTGCCACCCATGTCAACAAAAAATTATTGAATGACTGCTTTTTGTAGAAATCAATGTCACAAGAAAAACATGCCTTTTTTCCATTGTCATATAGAAACTGTACTTTTAAAAAATACAAAAATTGAAGACCCTCAATAAAATAAAATTATGACGAAAACATCTTTCATCTTACAAGCATAATGGATTATTTTATTTGTTAATTCTCAATTTCATTTTAATATTTTAATTAAATATAATATTTCAATGTTGATTATTTACTGAAGTTAATTAAATTTTGAAATTCATTATAATTATAAATATTCCATTTGAAATTAAATAGAAAAATGAAATTGAAATTTATAAATTTATTTTAAAATTTAAAATAGTATTAAAAAAAGACCTTGTGAAACAAAATACTATTGTTTGTTGACACTGCAGATATTTTATTAGGAATTATAATAAATAGTAGACAGCAGATTCTCCTTCTCTCTCTTTGCGGGTGTATATATATTTATTTATTTATATTACCTACTTCTTTTAAAATATAAGCCAGTATTTTTTTCTCAAATATAAAATATTTAAAAAAATAAAACATCAAGCAAGGGCAAAATCAGGATTTAACTATTAGGGAACCAAGATTTAAAAATATATAGTATTTAACAAAATCATTATAATTTTTAAAGGACTGCACGTATTTAATATTTATATAATATTAAAAAAATTTAAAATTTTGGAGGGTCGTGACTCTTGTCCTTTCCTCTATCCAAAAAATTTAAAGGCAAAATTTATATATTTAACCTTATATACTTAATATATTTTTATTCAATTAAATTAAAATATATAAATTTAATGTGTTAATAATATTAATAATGAGAAATTTATTGTAGAATAAATAATCCATAAAAGATATGCATATTTTATTTAATTGAAAACAAACACCTTAAATATATAAAATTAAATACATAAGTTTTTTTTTTCTAAATTTAACTAAGGGAGTGATTAATGGTCCTCAATTCCACTCTCTCATCATTGGAATTTGGATTCGGTGACTCGAGAAATACTTAAATAAACTGAATGTACCACATCATTTATGATCTGTCTAATCATGATATTTAGATTACATTAAATATAAATTAATTCTAATATTAATGATTATAATATTACTGATAGTAGAAAAAAAAGGTAAGAAATCAAATATGTATTTTGTTATAAAAATAAAATTAATTTAAAAAATATCACACAAGATTTTATTTAGATTATTTGGAGCATTTTAATTGGATAGATCACAAATGAGATGATACACCCGGTTTATTTAAGTATTTCTCTTGGTGACTGTACTTAATATAAGTTTTGAGTACATGTGTCATCTGAGCCATTAAAATATATATACAACGATTTATATAAACTTATTTATTCATTAATATTAAGTGGAGTATAAATTCTTAACTATTGATTTGAATTTTAATGATTCAGATGATACAAGCACTGAATATACGTATTAAGTTCTATCACTGAATTCAAATATCTCATATTCTCCACCTCAAATCCAATTTTTAAAAAAGAATATAATATAATTCTTTTAGTCTATCCATCAATAATTAGTTCATGACTTCACGTAAAACTCAAATAAATATAACATTCACTTATATTATAGTTAATTAGTGTAATCCAACCCAACACTTTATGGATCGCATGATTTGGTCTCAATGTCTTGTAATTAATTAATGATTCATCATTAAATCTGAGTTTTCGTAAAATAAACATAATTTATAATAGTATGAAAAATCAAACGTGACTTTTATGAGATATTTTTGGCCATTATGACTTTTTTGTTTGTGGCTACACTGGCCATTATATGTACGTTGTAGGCCAACGTATAAGATATTTTTGGCTATCATGAGATATTTTTGGTTGTGGGTTTATAAATTTCTAAAAGAATTATTAATGACAATGTATTAGTTCTGAGTTTGACCATATCATCGTCACGTACAGATTCTTTCATGATCAACCTTTTATATGAACCGAAATAAGTTAACAAAGAGATCATCTCTTGTGATTCGGTGATCAAAGACAGATTCAGAAAAGAGTAGGAAAAATCACATAGAAGTCCCTTGCAAAAATTCTAATTCTAATTATCAAAAGGTCTCACGAAATAATTCTGAAGTTCCAAAGCCTTTAATCAAATCAAGTGCCTCTATTTTTTTAAATGATTTTAAAAAAATCTTTTTCTATGACTACTATCACTGGTCAATGGCCGGCCGATGGCTAGTGGTAGTGGCAGCTAACTGGCTGCTGTGGTGGCCCACTGCGACCGGTGAATGGCGCCGACAACCGTGGGGAGAGATTTTTTTTTTTAAAAAAAAAAAGAGGGCATTTTGGTAAATTTACACCAAAATTTATTTGCAATTAAAACTTACATGACCTTAGAATTATTTTTTTGTATTTAGTGAGACTTTTTGGTGATTATTTTTTTTTTGTGGAATCTTAGTGTGATTTTCCCAAAAAATTATATTTGTTTTTTGGCCGGGGAAAAAACTTTGTGTTCAAATCATCATGTTGAAAAGTTTTGGATTTAGGCATAATGGTGTTTCTGATCTTTGAGCATGTTAAGGACACAATAATTCTATGTTTGCATTACTAAGAGCTTATATCTCGGTGTGTGTGCGTGTGGATTTATCTGAGTATGGAGCAAATTTTGGAAGTCCACGTCGGCAAATTAATGTTGAGTAAAATGCTATATTGTATTGACTTTTCATGTATTTTACTTAATTATAAAGACATTTTTTTTATTTGCAAAACCTATTTAAACTTACTTAAAAATAAAAAAAATGTAACACAAACATCCAGCTTATTTTTGAAATTCTATTTTTATTTATCCAATTATTTTTGGTTGTTTTATTTATCTAATTATTAGATCACACGTTTTGTACTAAAATATCCTCTTAACTATAAATATTATTTAAAAATCATTTAAGTTACTGATAATAATTTTAAAACATATATTTTAAATGTTGTATTATATTTTAAAATTTTTATACATGTTCATGTAAACTCATGTATTTAGTAATGTTTTTAGTCTAAACTTTAAACATATATATTGGCAATTGAAACACATATGTCCAGATAAATTTTAATAAATAAGGAATTCAACATAATGAGGAATAAATTGGTTAAAATTTAGATTAATTTTTACTTTAAATTTTATTAATTTTCAATATTATATTTATTAAAATATTTTTCAAATATCATCATCTTTATGTTTATTTAAATATTATTTAAAGAGTAAAAAACACAAACCATCCTTTATTTTCCCTTAATTACACAACCCTCTAGTTTGAAAACTCACATAAAACTCCCTTAAAATTAAAATATATATTACCATAAACATCCATTATATATTTGAAATTTTATTTTCATCCATTCAACTGTTAACTTACTGTTAAGTTTGACTGACTTAAATGGCCCTCTTTAACATAAAAATTATCTAAACATCTAAATTTACCAAAAAATATTTTGTTTACAACTAAAAAATATAATAAATATATTTTCAAAATTTTATTATATTATAAATTTATTATTTTTATTTTTTATAAAATTTCATAATTTCAATTCTTATCAAATTTATTGAAACTTATTTATATACGTCATTTAAAATTTCTAAAAACATAGTTAAAAAAATTGTTTCATCACATTAAATAAAATAAATTAAATTTAAAATTCAAAATGATATAAGTTTGAGAGATTATACAAATCATTTAAAATTTAAATTTTAAATTTGTAAACCAGTTTTTTAGGAAAACATTTATAAACACATTTGATTTTATTTAAAAAAATTAATCGAATTTTTAATCAATTTTTTTATATCTACTTGCTAAAAATTACTTTAAGACTTTGTCCCAATTCCCTTTAAACATTAAGCAATTAACTACTATCTAAACCAAAAAAATAAAATAAAGAAAAAGAAAACTCTTAAATTCATGTAATCATCAAAATAATATAATTTAGAGATTTATTAAGACAAGGGGTAAATTAGTAAATAAAATTTTTTAATATAAATTTTAATTTAAAAATAAGTGTTTGCAATGTTCTCACTGGAGTTAACGGATTAGACTAAATTATATGTTTTCAAAATAAAAAGGAGATCTGTGTGACTAAGTTGAAATAGAAGGATGATCAGAATATTTTTACTCTTATTCAAATAGAGGGGAGTGTATCTTTTTTCTTGTTTTGATATTAGTTTTTGCTTTTATATTTTTGTTTTATACTCCCTTCCCGAATCATACTCTATAATAGACATGGACTTGAAACGAGGATGTAGTGTGTCTTTTAATCATGAAAACAATAAAATCACACATAATTACAAAACAATAAAATCAAATCAAGATAAGGGGAGAGAGAGAGAGAGAGAGTATTTTATGACCCCACTTGGATCCCCTAATAATGTTTAAAGAGGGTAAAAAAAGATACACTCCCCTATATATTATCTGTCCCTGGGTTCGGCCCAGAAGCAACCAGCCCAATAATGAACTAAATCTCCTCTTTGACCTTATCCTTCTCATGTTACACTAATTTGAATTCTCACTGAAAACGGTTGCAATTAATACTTAACTGTACTTCGAGTAGAATTATCTCTAATAGGAGAACACATATACATGGTAACAAAAAAAAATTTGTCCTTTATCTTATGAATCTTATTATCTATTTCTCATTTTATTTGTATCTTATGAATGTTTGTTGCATCTCCTCTACTTCCTTTTATTGTTGACTTTCTACTCTCTTATTCTCCTTGCTTTCTTTCTTTACATTTTACTCTCTCGGATCTTTATTATAAAGCATCTTCTAGGAAGATTCTTTGATCTTTAATATAAGGCACTTGATAAAGTATTAATCACGTTTTTTCTAATATTACCCTATTTTAAATCATTAAACTATAAGAATGTAGTGCAAATTTGAATTTTTTTCATTTAAATAGAGGTAAAATTAAAAGTTTATTCAATTTTATACAAAGTTTTAATAACTTAATTATTTTTCCTTAATTCTGACAAGATAATTAGAAGTGCCTTATGATAGGAAGCTGATGGAGTATGTAAAGTATATAACAAGGTAATGAAAATCAGACTGATTATTGAACCAATAATAATATTAGTTTAAGGATTAATAATCAAAATCATAGTTGAACCATGATTAAATCGATAATAAACATAGCACTTTATTAAAGAAGATGCTGGTTGAACTGCTTAACAATTCAATTGAATAGGTTGACCTGGATTTCCAAGTATAGTAAAGAAGATGAATAGCAAAATGCAACAGAGAAGTTGGTGCCTATAAATAATATATATAGATAGATTCGCTTGTTTGTGTGACAGACACAGATACATTCTGAATATCTGACTAGATGAGTATAGAGTTGCAATGATAGAGTACGGAGAGCACATTTCAAGAATCGCGACTAGTTTATTCAAAGCAATGGCGAGTAAGTTAGAAGTGAAGATGGAGGAGGACAAGTCAAGCAATTGTTATGTTTCAGACAAGACAGGAAACATAAGAGTGTATCGCTATCCACGTAGCCCTAATAATCATCACGTGATTGGTTCTTGGGGAATGGAACCTCACACAGATAGCTCTGTGTTGTCCATTCTCAATCATCATACTCAAGATTCTGCACTCGAGCTTTTCAACAATCATCAATGGCTTCCTCTTCAATCCATTCCCAACACTCTCGTCGTCAACATCGGCGACATGATGCAGGTTCTGTCTTATACATGTCTGTTACGTTTCTGCAATTTTCTTCTGATGAGAGAAAATATAACAATAAGTTTCTGTATTTTGATTGCATTTGTTTTAGTTCTTATAGTTTTAATTTGCATCTGTTTGTAGCGTGCATATTCCATATAATTTTAAAAATACATATAAGGATCATGACATTGACAGAGTTAATTTTGTTGATACGTACTTAACTCTATTAACTTTGCAGGCGTGAAAAAAATATGTTGATGTAGAAATAAAGAGAGTTAAGTACATATAAACAAAATGAATTTTATCAATGACAAGTCATAGTCCTCTTATACATTTTTAAAACTATATAAATTAATGTAACAATATAGGTGATAATATGGGCTAACCAATAAGTTAGCCCGGATGAGTTAAATTAACTCACTTTTAAATAAGTTGAAAAATTTTCAGTCAAACTTACCACCTTTTGACGGGTTGGTTAGTCGAGCCTAACCTATATTTTTGACTCTATACAGCAATGGATCAAACTAAAGAAAGTGACAATAACAAAATAAAATTACAAAACCTAAAAGCAAAATATAATTAAAGTATATGGATCTATTGCTATATTTTCTCTTTATCCACACATGTACCATTTTGTTTTATTTATAAGGTGTTTGTGACATTTTTCACATAGTTTAAATTGTTATATGTTGCTTTATATTTGTTAAGAAATACACTACTGTCCAATTATATATCTTTATTAATTAAAGTAAGAATAATGAGTCACATTGTTACTTGTGCAAGTGCTTTCTCAAGCTAAAGGATTAAACTAGAAGATTATTTCACCTTTTTGTGCGACACCTGTTGATTAAGACCTCTTCTTCTTGTTTTTGTCAAATATCTTATAAATAAAACCAGAGTAGCATTTATATGTGTGAGCGAAACAGCTAGCAAAGGGATGTGAAATTGGTTATTGTTTGGACAAAATGATCACAGGCCATAAGTGATGACAGATACAAGAGTGCATTGCACAGAGTGAGGATAAGCCAAGAGAAGGAGAGGATATCAGTGTGTTACTTTGTGTTTCCAGATGAAGAGTTTGTGATAGAGAGCTCCAAGTACAAGCCCTTCAGTTACAGTGATTTCAGAGCACAAGTTCAAGAGGACATCAAAACCACTGGCTATAAAGTTGGACTCTCAAGGTTTTCCCAAACTCATCATTAGGACACAAACTTCATTTCATGCCTCTCTCAATTCAATTTCAACTTCTCTTGATGTACTTCATTGATTTACTTCATTTTTTATTCTCTAATATACTTGTAGTATATTGTATGCTTCACCTGATATGTGAGGCCTACCATAACTCCTTCTCTCTTCCTCTTTCCATTTAGTTTTATTCACGAAATAAAAGAGAGATTTAAATGAGGAAATTATTAAATCTTGCGAGGTTGCATATAGCTAAACTCTTCCTGTCTCTCTATTTCACCTATATTGTGAAATACCTATACATATATAAATTTTTTAAAATATAAATCTTAAATTATATTATTTTGATAGTTATATAATTTAATTGTAAAAAAAACATGTTTACAAATTTTAAATTTTAAATTTTAATTATTTATATAATCTCTCAAATTTATATCATTTTATGTTATGTGATGAAAAAATATGTTTTTGAAATTTTAAAAAACATAAATAAATAAGTTTCAATAAACTTGATGAAAATTAAAATGTTATAATATGATAAAAATTAATAATTTTTATAATGTAATAAAAATTTAAAAATTTATTTATTATATTTTTTTGAGTTGTATAACAAAAAATTTTCTGGCAAATATAGATTTTTTGATAATTCTTATATTAAAGAGGGGATTTTTTGGTCAAATTGAAAGTTTAAATGTCAAACTTAATTGTCAAGTAATAGTTAAATTGATAAAAATGGAATCTCAAATATACAAAAGAGGTTTATGTAACACATAATTTAATTTAAGGGACATTTATATAAGTTTTTTAAAATAGAAGGAAAGTTTGTGTAATTAAACTATACCAAACACTATTAAAAAAATTTAAATTATCTAAAAAATTTAGTGAAAGATAGTCTTTTCATTTATAAAATATCAAATTAGCGAAAAAATTAATAGAAATGTTGATTTCATAGCTTAACTTAAAACTAGCAAAGAAAATATTGAGAAACTGTTAATTTCTCTCTAAAATAAGACAATTAGTGAGAAAAATAATGAGAAACTATTAATCTCTCTATAAAATAAGATAATTAATGAGGGATTTAGTAAAGATTTCTATCCCAAGCTAATTTATTCAATTTTAATTATTTTTATTTAAAAATAAAAATTAACTAAAATATTCATAATAAAATTATTTATTATTTAATATTTTATTTTTTAAGTTATTTTCATTAATAAAATAATATTTTATTAAAAATATAATATAACAAATAATTTAAATAAAATATAAATATTTTTAACACATTAATAATTAAAAATAAAATTTAATATGTATATATGTGTGTATTTTTATGATATATTATCTGATATATTTATGTAGTTAAATAATATATGTTTAATTTTTTATATAATAATTAGATATGTTTTTTAGTTTAATTGGCAAAGAAGAAAAGTATAAGGCTTGAAAGTAAGGGTGAAAATAGGTTAGGTCTTTAATAGAAGCTTACAGTCTGGTCTACTTTAGGCCTAACCTACCCTACTCACTAAATAGGCTTAGGCCAAGCTCAGGCCTTTAATTAAGTTTATTTAGTTAAATAAATTAGGTCTATTTTTTCAAAGTCTAGATTATGAGTCCAACAGACTAGCCTATTTATATATATATATATATTATGTACTATATCACAAATACATCAGTTTTAGCATATAATTTTTAATCAATTTATTGTTTACTACTTCTAGTTTTTTAATCATATTTGATTCATATATTAATTTTAATATTGTTATTTTATTGTCATATTATATTATAGTTAGTAAATCCTTTCAATTCTTATATATTATAATTGATAAATTATGTTATATATTATATATTATAACAACCCTAAAATATACTTGAGACATTTAAAACTAAAATGTAAGTCTATTTAAAAGGCTTTACTTTTAAGCAAGCCTCTAAATATGCTTGAAGTTAGGTCAAGTTTTAAGTAGGCTTAGGCTTGAGCTATAAAAAAAGCCTCATGTAGGCTTCAGGATAGGCTCAAGTTTTTGATTTATGACACAGGCTTAGGCCTATTTAGTCAAAGTCTAGTTCGATCCAACCTATTTCCACCCCTACTTTGAAGGTATGAGATCAAGGGCTTAAGTTTTGGCTTTGGCGTAAACATAATAAATATATGACATGATAGGGAACAAGTGACATGACACAAGGTGAATAATGATATGTTATGAGTTGTTGCACATGTAATGATTGATGAGGCATGGGATTGTTGGTGACATGTTATAAATTGATACACATATGGTGGGTGATGTGGTATCACTATTTTTAAATATAGGTATATTTAATGAGGGATTAATGAAGGACTAATTCCTTGCTAAATTATCAAATTTTGAATAGTATTAGTAAGGAATTAATGAGGGATCGAATCCTCGCTAATTAATAAGAGAAATATGATCCCTCGCAAAATTTAGTGAGCTTTTTTTTAGTTATGAATTTATCCCTCATTAAAATGCAATTCAGCTAGAAAAATTGGCATAAATTTTATTTTTCTAGTAATGAAAAGAATGGTCAATGTATTTTACAATTTTTGTTTTTATGAAATGAGAAGACTTTATATTAAGTAAGGTACTGGGATGTTTAACATATAATGAGTATTAACAAAGGTATAATATTATTAAGGGACATTATTTATTAGTCATAATAAGGATTTGGCTAAACTAATCACAACTCTTGGCAAACTCTTAAGCTATAAACTCAATTTCAACTCTTCAGATGTTTTGTTATTGATAACTATGATAAATTTGAGTAATTAAAAGTTTTATTATCCCAAAATATTTGGAACTTAATGGTCATTTTAAATTTGCACTATTATTTTAAAATTAAATACTATGTATAAATACTAAACATTTTTTTTTGTCATTTTCATTCAAATTAATTGAAAAGAATACGACAACGTTCTTTTGTGAACTTGATATAGTTTGTACGGTCTCGAGTATTTTCTTAAGTCATAAACAATGCATTTCCTCATAAGGATTTGACTAAACTAGTCACAACTCTTGACAAACTCTTAAGCTCTAAGCTCAATTTCAACTCTTCAGAATTTCATTATTGATAATTGAGATAAACTTGAGTAATTGAAAATGTTATTATTCTAAAATGTTTGAAACTTAATGATAATTTTAAATTTGTACTGTTATTTTAAAATTCAATAATATATGTAAATTTTACTAAATCCTTTTTTTTTCATTTTCATTCAAATTAATTGGAAAGAATATGACAATGTTCTTTGTGAACTTGATATAGTTTGTGTACTGTCTTGAGTATTTTCTTAAGTCATAAACGATGTATTTCCTTGTCATGACTCAAACCAATGCATGATACTCACACAGGATACATAATAATGGTTTAATAATTGCGATTGGTTAAAAAAAAATTATAAATTTTTGGCATAAAATTATATGTAAAATATTTCTTATTTTTTGTTCAAAATTATATGCATGATATAAGGGGTTTGTAACTTCTCTCATTCAATTGGGCTGGGCCTTAATGTATGCCTGGTGTCAAATAAGTTTTAAAACAAGGTATGATACTATAGAAGCCTAAGGATGGACTTGGACCTCATAAGATTAATTTCAATGTTTACATTTTTTATCAATCCTTGATCTTTCTGCAACCAGTGACAAAAATGATATTTTACTTCTAAGAAAAAGATATTATTTTAATTTTAATATTGGTTGTTAAAGTGAGATATTAATAATTCCAAAGAAAAAAAGGTTCAAATTTTGAGAGGTGAAAAGGCATTTCTTTTCTGTTTGCCCTTTTGCTTTGTTGTTTTCAATGAATGGGGTTTTAATCATTCACTTTTTTTTTTTATATAAGCAACATTTTAGGTGATTTAAGTTTTGAGACTCATCTTTTAATTTTTTTTATAATATTCATATTTTAATGTAATCACTATTTTAATGAATTCTACTACCGTTGAAAATAATAGAAAAATATTTTTTTGTTTTTTCGTAAAATGTTTTTTTTATTTTATTCTCTCCTATCCTTGGCATCATTGGAAGGTATAGATTCATGATTCATATACTAAAAGAAAAGGCCAAAAAACAGCCAACCGAACCAAAAAAAAAAAAAAACAACCTTGTTAATTACATAGGAAGGTAATGGAAAGAATAATATAAAGGTTATGATGATAAAGGTGATGGCTAGGAATTTAGAAAAAGCAAAGGAACGAATTTTTAATAAATGCATGGATGAAGAAAAGAAAGGGACAAATGCTTCCTTTTTTTTTTAATGGAAAGGGGCAAATGAGTCTTTTGATTATGAAAATATAAAAAATTAGTTTTGATAAATCAATTGTAAAAGTTGAAATTATTACCAAGATACGAATCTTGTGAATTATTATTATTATTATTATTATTATTATTATTAAATTTTAAGAAAACAATTAGAAAACTATTTCAGAATAAATTTCGTAACAGTGATAATAATTCTCAGAAATAATTTTGATAAAAATCGGTTGCTTTAAAATTAAAATGCTGTAGAAAATATAATTACTAATATTTATTTTTTAAGGTGTCATAGATATATTGACAACAATTAAATTTTTAAACATAAAAATAAATTTATAAATAATAAACTTTATGACACCTCTCCATATTTTTTGCATTTCATATTAAAATGTATAGTCCCTTCTGTCTATTTGTGAAATGTTTGAGATATTTTTAAAATACTTTATAAATATTAAAGTAAATAAATATAACTATAACTATATCTGTATATTCTCCAACTTTAATATAAGACAAATTTAACCAATTTCATACTTATTAAAAAATATACTAAAATTATTAACAAAAAAGTATATAAATTTTGTATTTTCATATATTTTTTATCAATAATTATAATAAATTATTGTCTAGTAATTTAAAATATGTTAAAATTAAAAATATTAATAAATTTAAATTTATTTTATATTAAAAGTAAAAAAAATTTAAAATTTGTCTGGGGAGAGTATATATTTTGTCAGTTTTACAGTGAGCCACTGTGGCCCCAAAAAAAAAAAAAGTGGTTTTACAGTTAGCTCCCACTTGAAAAATGAAGATATTTCCCATTTGTTGATTATGAAAAGTGAGCGCCTTTTTTTGACGAAAACGGAGAAACTGGCGTTGTTCAGTATTGATTCATACATACTCAGACTAGTCTCTAACCCCAAAACCAGAGACTGCAGATTCGATTCCGTCCAACGCATTTTTTCAAGCTCACTCAGCTGGATCCTCTTGCTATTCATTCACATTCTTCTTTCAACATTCCCAATATTTCAAATCTCCCTCTTTGCCTTTTGTCTTTAGATTCTGCAATGGTCCATCTTCTTCTTTTTCCCTCTCAATCTTCTTCTTCGTCTTCTTTCATTTCAGCCTCATTTCCCCCTCTTCTCTTCCTGGTTCTTCTTCAATGCCGCCTAGCTTCTTCTGCTCTACTACTGAGCTTGAGGAACCACCGTAACCACTTCCACCATCAGAGACCGATGATCCATGCCAATCAAAGCACCTGCGCGCTCTTCGATGGAACTTGGGTTCGTGATGATTCTTACCCGCTTTACCAATCTTCTAGCTGTCCGATTATAGACCCTGAGTTCAATTGCCAACTGTACGGTCGCCCAGATTCGGATTACCTTAAATACCGATGGAGGCCTCTCAACTGTGAGCTCCCAAGGTACCATAGCAGTATAACCCAGAATCGTTGAGTTTAATCTTGCTGCATTTTTGGTGCGAGATTTGCATAGACTTTGTTATATGTTATAGCCTGACAGATTTTGTAGCATTTTCCTGGTAGGTTCAATGGGGTTGATTTTCTGCTCAACATGAAGGGCAAAACTGTGATGTTTGTTGGGGATTCTCTGGGGCGCAATCAATGGCAGTCTTTGATTTGTATGATTTATGCTTCAGCATCAGGAACACAAACGCAATTGGTCAGAGGAGAACCCCTCTCAACCTTCAGATTCTTGGTGAGTTGGATCTCTGAGCAACAAATTACAGAAATTAAATTCATTCCTTGTGATATTTAGGGCATCCTTATTCCTTTTGACGACCCATTACCTTTTAGGGCTAAATTTTTGTTTAATTGACTGGGGAGGTAAGAATTTTGCAGATTTTACAGTAGCAAAATAGTTATTTCTCCCTTTATGCGAGGCTTTATTCAAAATATGAGGGCTTGAGTCAGGTTATTTTCAATGGGACAAAGCATTTGTTGTGAAAAGGTGTTTGTGAAGAAGAGGGACCCATTACCACTGTGGAATATTGAGTTTGGCTAGTTGGTGCAAACTGCAGTACACTAACCTCGTGCTTTAGTCTGTACAAAGCAGACAATAGAAAAAAGCATTTTACAGCTGCAAAAGAGGCATTATTTGTAATTGGGTTTTGAAATGGTGTGTGCAGGACTATGGTGTGACCATTTCATTTTACAGAGCCCCTTATTTAGTTGAAGTTGATGTGGTCCAAGGTAAAAGAATTCTGAGGTTGGAGGAGGTAGATGGCAATGGAGGCGCATGGAGGAACGCTGACGTGCTATCTTTCAACTCAGGACATTGGTGGAGCCATGAAGGATCTTTACAAGGGTATGCTATCTCCTCCTTTTGAAAGTTTCTTTGAACATTAAAAAGAAAACCAGACTTAAAGTTATGTTTATTGACAAAAATTCATGTTTTAGATAGAAGAACGTGACAGTAGAAACTTCAAAAGTTTTAGACGTTATGCAGTATCAAAATCCTGAAAGAAAGGAAGAAAGAAATATGGATTTGCTATTGATTTCTCAATCACTTTTTGCAATTTCTAAAGTACTAAATATATGATTTTTGGATTGGTAAGTGCAGGTGGGATTACATAGAATTAGGAGGAAAATACTATCCAGACATGGATCGTCTGGCAGCAATGGAGAGGGGTCTCAAGACATGGGCAAATTGGGTGGACTCAAACATTGACAGAAGCAAAACCAAAGTATATTTTCTGGCAATTTCCCCCACACACTACAAGTAGGGACTCTCTTTCTCACTCTCACAATCTAAATAGCCTTTTCTCTTTCTTCAATTATTATTTTGGTACATTAGTGTGGGATTTCTATTTTCTAGGGTTTCATGATGGTGTGTTTGTTTAATTGAAGTATGGTTTCCACATGCCAGAAATCTATGAGCTGCATGTACTGGGAACCCTCTTTTTGAATTTTGATTTTTGACCCGTTAGCTAGCCTGCATTTGGCTTGGTGCCTCAGACGTAGATGCATTAAAAAAAAATAAAAAATAATAATAAACATTATGCCATACTTGATTGATTGTAGTGACAGTACGATTTTAAAATGGGAGTTGGGTTTTGAAAGAGGAAATTAATTTCGGTTGAGTTGTCAACAAATCTTAATGAAAAATGACTTGCAATTATTATTTATTAATTTAAATAACTATAAATTTAAGAGTTTTAATTAAAAATAAAACATTTAAGTTTAAAGTACACTCCCTCCGATCTAAAATATAATTTCTCATTTAAAAAATATAAGATATTTTTAATTAAATTTTACCCTTAATAAATTAGTTAATTTGTTTTCCAACTAATAGTGTCTTTTCGTATTTATCCTTATTTAATAGGGTGTTTCACCTTAAAAAATGTAAAATAATTTATTTATCAAGAATATTTTTGGAGAAAACATATTAATTACATCTTAATTGCACCTTAAAATACTAAAAAATGTCTCACACTTTTTAACGGAAGGAACAAGCATTTTCTCTCTACTAATCTTGATCCAAAATATAAACAATTTAGTATTTGTAAAAATAAAAAATTCTCATTTTATTCCTTATATTTATTAATTTAAATTCTTGTATCTGTAAATTTATGACATTTTTTCTTGTTCATCATAAATTCAATCTCACGGTAAAAAAAAAAATTAATATATATTTTTATGGAAATAAAAATTTTATTAGCATGTGAATTATAGTACGAAGATGCTTATATTTTTTATTGGAAGAACTAACTTTTATTCTGTAATTGAGGTTTCGATTTACAATTGCTTAAATTAATATTTATAATCATTTTCCCAAAAAGAAAATTCTGGAATCTAAGTGTCATTAGTTTTCTCATTAGGACTTAACTGTCACTCTGTTGTTTAAAAAAACTTCATGTTAGTTGTATATCTTATTTATGATTATGTGGTTTGGTAAAGTTTTTGTCAAAAAAAAAAAATATTGATATTTATAATTATAGTTTATAAATAATTATACTTCTGCAAAATTGCATTATTGTCCTTTTTTTGTCTCTTTCAAAACCATCCATGCTCTGTCAGTGTCTCACATGGGGGTGTAATGGGCGCTTGCTGCTTTTTTTTCTCTGAGCAATTCACATGGACAAAGTTGATCTCCTGAGCTTCTCTTTGTAATTTGTTTTGTTTTCTTACTTCACTTCTTCTTTTCTTTTTAATACTGTGATTTCTTGAGCTGGAGATTGGAGGATCACAGTAAAACATGCACAGAAACCAATTTTTGAAAAACGAAAAAAATCTTGTGTCGGTGGAATAAAACATACTCATGTGAACGCGGACATACCTGCTGTATTTCGTACAAAAAAGCACATTAATATTTAAATCTTAGTTCTTTTTTTTTTTTATGAACATTTAAATCTTAGTTTTGTTCATTCACATTAGATCATGTAGTATAGGTTAATGAATAGTTACTTCAAAAATTATTTGGTAAATGTGTATAGGCTTTTTGTTTTAAGAGGAATGACATTAAAGGACCCAAATATTGAATTAAAATTAAATAAGGATCCAAGGATTTAGAAATCCGAAATAAAGACAAAAGGACCTTGAGTGAAGTGGTCTAAAAGTTTGTTATTCTCATTCCGTGATTTGTAACCAGGAAACAAGAATTTACAAGTGAGATTTCGCTAATTTTGTACAGGAAAAACTTGTCAAATACTCCCTCCGATCCTTACTCAACCGTTTTGTGCTCTAGAAAAAGTTAATTTTTTTTTTAATATCAATGAGTTTTATTTTCATTTTTACCCTTGACTTTAAATCATGATACATTGATGTTAATTAAGAAAGGATAAAAGTGAAAAAAATAGTTTAATCATTACCAAGAGTCTTACATTTTGGACCAAATATTATTTCTAGAAGGTGTCTTACAAATGGGATCAAAGGGAGTATATCATTATTCAGAAATAATTTTTCTTCATAAATTAACGAATCTTACTTACAAATTTATATTTTAAGAGTTTCAAATAAGAGTATGAGAGTAACAAATTATTGGAAGTGGTGATATATTTGGCAAGTTTTTCTTTCATAAATTAGCAAATTTTACTCACAAATTTTTGTTTTAATAGATGCAAATCAAGGAAGGAGAGTAGCAAATTTCTATACCACTTCACTAAAGAATCTTTTGGTCCTTATTTAGAGTTCCAAATCTTTTGTTCCTTATTCAAGTTTAATTCAATCTTTTGGTCATTCAATGTCATTCCCCCTTTGTTTTATTTGTAAAGACTAGTGTGGATTTCTTGTGTGACAAGAAATTTGAAAAATGAACTGCGCTATTGATAACTTATGAATAATGCAACTTGTTAGAGTTTTCATATTACATATAGAATATAGAAACCATGGTGAAACAAGATGACACTGGTGTGCAGCCCCAATGAATGGAACAACGGAGGAGGAACAACATCAAGGAACTGTTATGGCGAAACAGAGCCGAGCACCGGCGTGGCATACTTTGACGATTACACGGAGCAGAGGAGGGTGGTGGACATGGTGGTGAGAGAAATGAGGAACCCACCATATTTGTTGGACATCACAATGCTATCAGGATTGAGGAAGGATGGTCACCCCTCCATTTACAGTGGTGACTTGAGCCCTCAACAGAGAGCCAATCCTCTGTCTTCTGATTGCAGCCATTGGTGCCTTCCTGGCTTGCCTGATACTTGGAATCAACTTCTCTATACCACATTGTTCAACTAAGCACTCACTTAATTGATCTCTCTGTGTTTTCCTCTGATTTCTATACTAAACATTGTTTTGTAGGATCAGATCTAGATAGATACATTTATGTGAAGGGTTGCTTGATTTTTGCAACTCTTTTTCACCTGTAAATTAAAGCTAATGAGAACAGGGTAGATTAATTTAAACCAGTTATCAACAGTTTCCATGGTAGGTTTTGGAGTTTGATTCTTGCTGAAGTTGGATTTGATAATTAGGACTTGTGATAGACGAAGATGAATGACGATGTTGTACTGGCAAGTTGTAATTGATTTTTAATGAATGTATACTCAGACTCATGCCATCAAATTATATGGATTCTTATAATCATTTTCAAACTGCATGCAATACCTTCTAGGTTGTGTGTGATGATGATGTGAGTTATTTTTTTGGGTGAGATATTACATTTATTTTTTAACTAACTAGAATAATCAATTTTTTAATTCTTAATTAGACTAACCCGAAATATTATGTTTGCAAATCTTGTGAGGGTGAAAAATCAAATTGATAGAGTCATTCCCGTTTATGCTCGATGATATTCAAATTTAACTCCATAATGTCAAATATTATCATAATTTTTAGATAATAGTTTTGAAAAATTTCAAACTTCAATCAAATATGAATAAAAATAGTTTAAAAAAAATTAAACTTATCATAATTTTTAAATGATGTAGATAATATAAGATTAATAGATAAAATTTTACTATTCCTAGGGGAAATTTTTAAATGATATAATATTATCATTAATATTATCTTTGTGTAAGTTGGTAAATTTACTCCTTATGTGCCAAAATCTTCTTCAAATTTTAGTAGAGGAAAAGAATGATGAATTAGGGTACGAAATTAGAAGGGCATAATGTAAATTAAGAAATTAATGAAAAAATAAACAAAAGAAAAATAAAATATAAAAAAGTTGAGATATATTTTGTTAACATGTATTTTTTTAAAAAAAAAAATTTACCCCTGCATCACACAGGTACAATACTAGTTAAATTAAAAAAAAATTAATTATATTTTCATACATGATAAACATGTGATATATATGTGGGTCTGCGTGTATAACTGTCTGATCAAATTATATATTTATCATATTGTCCTGAAAAAATTATATGTTAATCATTAAGGAAATTACTATTTTAACAATTATTTGTTAAAGCATTAATATTTTATGACTCTAAAACAATAAGAATACATTGGGCTTCGGAATTTATGTATGTATGTATGTATGTACTCCTTTCGTTTAAAAATATAAGGCATTTTTAATCAAATCTCGTCTTTCAATAAAATAATTACCTACTTTCAAACTAACTCTATTTTTTATATTTATTCCTATTAGATACCCTATAATAAATAAAAATTCATTATTAATAGGAGTACTTTTGAGAAAAAGGCAATGATTATACTTCAAAAGATTAAAAATGCTTTATACTTTTTAATATCTATCTCTTTAAAAAATGTCTTATATTTTAAATGGAGGGAGTATATAACTTGAAACTAAAGGAAAAATCTGAGGCCATGCCATGCGGAAAGAGCGATCATTTTCCTTCTTTTTTTGGTCCAGTACTTGCACATGGACTCATTTATCTTTGTTTTTTTTTTTTTTTTGGTAAAGTGCATTTATTTATCTTGAAGATAATTTCAGTAATCGCTAGTGTATGCCACAATATATAACTCAAACCGTAGATATTTATGTCCTTGGAATTTCGGAAAAGATAATTGCAAGAAAAAAAAAAAATCGTTTCAAGTGCTGTCGATTCCACAAAGAGAATGCAACTTCTATCAGGAAAGCAATTAGCACCTTTTTGCTCATCAAAATGACGAAAAGGTTTTTGTTGTTGTTGTTGTTGTCGTTGTTATCTTACTCTGCGTTTTGAAATACATAAAATGCAGTCCCTTGGGTGCTTCACATTGGGCTTTGCAAGAAGACAGCTTGATTTGCACACAATAAACTTACAAGTGAACCATAATTTTGAAACCCAATTACCCTCTAGCTAGTGGAAAAGCCTTATCACAATATGTATAATAGAAATGGCCTTTGATACGTAGATTATACAGTAGGCAAAAGTTCCATTCAAGTTCTGTGCAATAAAAGCTTAGTGTTCTTCATTCTAGCACAGAATTATTCCCTTGCATTGCCACAGGAATTAACTCTGGATAGTAACTCCTAAAGGAACTTCCAACTTGGGTATGATCTTCTCTGGTTCTACAGCCTTGCTTTGGTTGTCATAAGCAGAAACATGCACTCCAAGTGCTGCTCTACCGGAAGGATCAAGATTGCTCGACCACGTTGCATCCCACTCGACTGCTTTCGCGGTGCTACATGCAACACTCGCGCCTCCAGGAACAGTAAGCCTCGCGGAGTTCTGCAATGCCAAAAATATATTTAGAGGTCAATCACGAATAAAACAGTCTCACATGATGAACTTGTCCATTTTGTGCAGCCTTGATCATTGGTTAACACAAGATGTGTTCTTGACTTTCACCCTAAATTATGATTTCATTTCAGAGTTCAGATCACGATTATGGTTTCTGCAAATGAATAGATTTGATTGATGAAGTCACCTGTGGGAAGAACCTCTCGAAGATCATTCTGTAATAATATGCCTCTTTGGTTGTTGGAGTGTTGTGGGGGAAAATGTTAGCAGCATTGAACATCATTTTATCACTCACCTATTAAGACAATTTTGAAACCAAGCTATAAGCGTCAGCACTTGAATGGCTTCAAGGATCAGAGATAAGGTAAAAGTAAAGATATTTGTACTCACATGTTTGGCAGCATGGGCTTTAAGGCCATCAATCCAGCTATAGCCAACACCATCGCTGAATTGCTCTTTCTGTCGGTATAAAATGTGCTGCAAGATTTTGAAAACTTTAGGTCTTAGTTCAAAAGACTAATGTTGTACTGATTTACAAACATTGCAGCATATTGCAGAATACCTTTGGCAGATAAGGATGCTCTTCATCATCAAAGGCTCTCCTTAGAACCCACTTCTCAATCCGGCCTTCATCTCGTTTTATCTGCACAAATTAATCGGTAAACCCCCCTAGTAAAAGTCTGTAACTTTCAGAGTAACATTCCATCACAGCAAGTCCATACCATTTTGCACTCAGGATCAATGTTCATTGCAACATTGATAAACTCCTTGTCCAGAAAAGGCACTCGAGCTTCCAGACCCCAAGCAGATGTTGCTTTATTGGCTCTCAAACAATCGTACTGATGAAGTGCCTTAATCTGCATAGAATTAGAAAAGGAAAACAAATCTTATAACCCTTTTGTCCATGTTCAGGCAATAAACATAATAAGTATATTATGTGTGTGTGTGTGTGTGTGATATATGACCTTGCGGCAAGTTTCTTCATGGAACTCCTTCTTGTTAGGTGCCTTGTGGAAGTACAGATACCCACCAAAAATCTCATCAGAGCCTTCTCCAGAGATAACCATTTTCACTCCAAGCGATTTAATCTTGCGTGACATGAGGAACATGGGGGTGCTGGCTCTTATTGTAGTCACATCATATGTTTCTATATGGTAGATTACATCCTCAATGGCATCTATGCCATCCTGCATACACAATTCATGAATATATTTTTAAGGAATGGCAATTGTAAACTAAAGGGCCCAGAAAGTTTAGCAGGAAAGTACTATCTCCGAGTGAATACCTGAACAGTGAAGTGAAACTCATGGTGAACAGTCCCTATATAGTCTGCAACTTCTTTTGCAGCCTTCAGATCTGGTGAGCCCTGTTCATTATAAAAGATTGCATTAGACCAAACCATTTGTAAAGAACTGTTCTCTGTGATTTTGAATTAGACATAAGGAATAATTCACCTCAAGGCCTACGCAGAAGGAGTGTAGTTTTGCTCCCCACTGTTTGGCAGCTTTTGTATCAGCAAGGTAACGAGCAGTGATGGATGCAACTAATGAAGAGTCCAAACCTCCAGACAGTAAAACACCAAAAGGCACATCTGTCATCAGCCTTTTTATGACAGCCTGTAATCACAATCATTACATGATTGGGACACCACACATCAGCTTTTTTTGTCAGGGTCAAGTTAAAAAGTTCTGTATTGGATTGATGTTAGCCGAGAAAAGATGATAATGAGTAAAAAAGACCTAAACATTTAATGCCTTCAAGTTTTGGATCAGGACTCAAACCGAATTCATTTGTATATTTCTTTTCTAAATTCAATGGAAAATAAAGGAACCAATAAATATTTCTGTTTGTCTGAAATTCTTTTGAATCTTACCTTCTCAAAAGCATGCCTCAGAGCCAAGGGATCATAAGGGGCCGATGGAACGATCTCAGAGAACCATGGAGGATTGTACCACCTGCGGAAGCCTCCTTCTTTGCTTGAGTACAAGTGGCCAGGAGGGAACCACTCAAAATGTTCACAGTCATCATTGAGTCCTTTTAGCTCAGATGAAATCCAAACGGAGCCTGCTCATGCAGAGAGGTATCAGGAAAAAATACACACACACAAACACACATCATACTAAATTCAAACTTGGAAGTGGAAAATTAGGAGATTAACTTTGGGCATATCAAAACATTACCATCTAGACCCCAGCCAATGTAAAGGGAAGTGACACCTATAGCATCTCTTGCAACTATGAAGCTGTTGTCTCGGGTATCCAGAAGAACAAATGAAAAGATGCCATCCAGCATGTCCACAAAATTTTCTCCATATTCCTCATACTATAAAATTAACATCAAATACGAGTATTTAATCAAAAGTTCAGAACTTCCGCTAACACAATCATGATTTACGGCCATTTTTAATCTTAAGAGAACTGAAAGAGGGAAAGACATAGTTCCTGTGTGTGTGATTAAGATGACTAACCAAATGAGCAATAACATCACAGTCACTGCCTGTCCTGAACTTGTGATTGGACAGTTGTTTCCTCAGCTCTTCATGGTTGTATATCTCTCCATTAACCTGTTTTTCATCAAATCATCTTTTCTCATTAGTCATAATTTTCCTAGGTTCAATCCCAAATCTCTCTAAGCCCGGAAAATATCTGTCGTTCCTTAATACCACAGAAAAGATAGAGTATTACAGTATTCATATTTCCATAGATAAGCAGCTCTTGTCTAATTCAATCACAAATTAAATGGCTTTGACCAAACTATGTATTAATATAGAATCAGGATCCTAGTAACTGAAAAAATATTGTGCATAAAACATTATGAGAAACATTTTTCTTTTTTTAAAAAAAGAATAACTATAAATAACATGTACCCGTTATGCATCATATCATTTTTATTTCTATGTTATTTTCTCTCCATTAGTATCACATAATTATAGAAAATCCACATGTGCATGATGTACGAATGAATGGTGGTGTGGCCTTTCATCATTGAAAGGAAACTCGCTAAAAGTGGATAAACTCAACTTCTTTGATCAATACAGTGTAACAGAGAAATCAGAGGCTCATAATATTCATAAGAAAAATTGCCATCAATGTTTAAAGTGTGGCCTACCGTGACAGCAACAGATTTGTCTTCGTTAAAGAGAGGTTGATCACCAGAAGCAGGATCAACAATGGCCAGCCGTTGATGAGCCAAGTAGCAATCACCATGCTGGTGGAGACCACTCCAATCAGGACCACGATGCCTCAATCTGTGACACCAGAACAAGTACAGTTGTTCAAACTGCACTTTCTGACACAAGCGTATATACCTCTACACACTTTCAATGTCACTAAATAATTCCAATAATTGTATTGCAACCTGGTCCCACACATCCCACTTAATTGTGTTCAATAAGTCAGTGATCATGTTAGAATATATTTCCCAGTTGTCCACTTACATTAAAAAGTCCTGGGTGATTGTTATCCTTTATTGATGCTTGTTTAATCCTGTAGATGGTTAGTGGGTCCCAGAAAAAACCAGTAATAAGTCATCATAGTTTAACTTATTCTACCATTAATATATTTGACGGTCTAGAAACCATGACTGTAGAAACACGAAAATGAAGCATTATATCATCAAGGTCCCACAATTATTCTTCAATTCATCACTAACGAAGTTTCAATATGATTAATTCATCAGAAGAATCAACAGTTTCTCCCAGGCTTTTTGAACTAAAAATAGAAAGTGGTACCAACCAGCATGAACTCATAAAAGTAACAGAGGAAAACATTGGGAAGCAGATTAACAAACACATGGCAGACTAAAATCGGGGTTTGGTTTCTTGATGATATGGAAAAGATATAAACCATGAAAGCTGAACGGAAGCATCAACATAGCATATATAAAACACAAGTTCAGAAACAGAGGAAAGCAGTTGTAAAATTCATGCAGGGGCTAATCACAGAAACAAATAACTCAGCTAGCAGAGACATCAAACTCTGAAATGAAACATCAGAGTTAAGAAGTGGCATATTAGAAATGAAACGCAGGAATCAATAGAGACATATGACAGAACAAATGAATAAACGAATTGATGATTGCCTTCGAGAGAGTTCGAGGACGCGGACTCTCTTGGCCTGAGAGTCGTCAGAACAGCCAAGAACAGCGAGAATTCCACACATTGTGATGGAAATAGAGAGAGAGAGAGATGAAGCGAGATAGAACAAAAGGGGCCGGAGAAGAAGGAATGGGGAAGATCACCACGTTTGATGGTTGAAGAAGCACTTTGTGCACCGCACGTATTTATAATGCAGAGCTCAGGCTCCGACGATGGCTAAACGACGTCGTTGCAAGGGCTGTCGCTGTCAGATTACATGGATCATTACAGGATACCCGCTTATCTCTTCTCCCCCGGACTCAACCCATTGAATGAACACCGTTTATATTATTTTTATATTTTATCTGAAATAATATTAAAAAAAAATGAAGATTTTCTAACCATTCTTCTATTGCAGAAGTTCTCTAACAGATCTACAGATCATATTTTTTATAAATTATTATAAATATAGCTTACTAAATTTTATAAAAATGCAAGTCGGTATTTAATTTAATTTTTTATTATATCTGATACATGTATTATCGAGTAATATTCGAATATTGTCAAAAAATGAGGGGTAACTTGGCTCCTCTATGTATATCTTACATGCTTGCTTGTAACTTCTTGAAATATATCTTTTACATTTACACAACTTTAAATATGCTTGCACTTGCTATAACTGGTTTTAAACTACTAATGTTTATAGGTATTGTAATTTTAATTTACCTATACTGCCAAAACATTTGCCTATTTTTTTTAAAAAAAAGTTGCTAAAGTTTAATTGCTATGGGAAAATCAAAGAAGTAATAATTAAATTCTAAAGTATTTATATCTAAAATATTTTTATTCAGCCTATCATCATACAAGTCAGATTTTAATTTTAGGGCTAAAATATAGTCTTGATTTTTTTAGCTTTATATAAAATTTTAGTTTGGTCTTTTAATTTTACAAAGTATATTTTTAATTCTCTAACTTTAATAATATTACTTTTAAATAATTATTTTTTATACAAATCATTGTTATTTTTAAAAAAATCAAAATTAATATGTTAACATTTGATAATGTTTTGTTAATATTTAAAGGTGCAATGCAAAAAAAAATTTATTGATGAAACAAATGATATTAAGGTTAAAGAACTTAAAAAATATATTATAAAATTAAGGAGTTAAAATGAAAAGAACCCTTGTATTTTTTTTTATTTTGCCAAAGAAATGAAACCTCGAATGGGATCTTGTTTTTAAGCCACTATAAAAAAAAAAAAAGAACTAATATTTGCAGTTATTGTAATTTTAATTTAATTATACAATAAAAAAATTTGTCTATTTTTGCAAGTAAAAAAAAAAAAACCATTTGCTAAAGTTTTATTGCAATGGGAAAATCACAGAAGTGACAGTTATATTCTGACGCAGTGATGTCTGAAATCTTTACATTCAGCCGATTATCATGCATGTCAGATTTTAATTTCAAAGTGATTCTTAAAATATTTATATTTTAATGTCAACGAATTTAGCGTAAATAGTAAATAGCTAAATCATTTAAAATTCACATAAATAAGTTGTGCGTAAAAAGCCTCTCAAATTTTAAGACTTAAGAAAAATATTATAAACTTTTAAATATGTGCAAATAATCTTCCTATAATTCCTTAATCAGTTATTTAAAAAAAAACAGGTGTCAAAATATGTTAATACAAGAGATATTACATGTCCAATAATTAATATTTAAGTTTTTTATTTTTCATGTTTCGCACTAAAAACAAAAAAGTGAGAGCTGGAGACGAAGGCTTGCGTGTCACCTTGATATTGAAACAACGTATATATAAAGTGTCGTTTTTTTTTTCTTTATGAAGAATATATATAAAGTGTTGTTGACGTGGATGCGATTAGTGACTAATTTGTCATTTAATTTTAAGAACATAAAAAACTCATTTTGACATATGGTACTCACAATTCAACGCTACAGTGCTCCTTCAGAAATTGATGCTTGTATAGTTGTATAATTCAAGCCACCGATTATAATTAAGTTAAAATTAAAATTGTACTCTCTTCTTTAAAAGAAATAGTATGAAATATTTTTAGTTTTTTAATGTATAGTTGATAAATATTTTTTTAAAAATAAAATTTTTGATCCCTGCACTTTACTTATATTTTGCTATAAATTGCTGCATTTTTTGATATTTTGAATCCGTATACTTTTATTTTTTAATATTTTAAATCCCTTTAAAATCCCTATACTTTATTCATTTAAAGACCTAAAATACTAAAAAAATAAAAATATAAGAATTTAAAATATAAAAAAAAATGTAGAGACTTATAATAAAATACGAACAAAATATAGGGATCAAAAGTTATATTTTTCCTGAATATAATACTAAGATCTTTGCCTTTGAATGAGATACTACCTTAAATAACAGTAGATAAAACAAAATGTTGTTAGTTTAAAAATAATTAACTAATTAATTAAAAATATAATTTAATTAAAATATTTTATATTTTTAAATAGATGATAGTTTTAATTTCATGTTATGAAATACGAATAGTTTAAATTGTTTGATATATTTATGTTGTTATCGTCTCTGATATGGATATGCTTCGACTTATTTGAAAAATTGTAATATTATTTTTTAAATAAAAATTTTTTTAAAATTTTTAATATATATTCAGTTCTTTTAGATTTTGAATCTATATTTCAACATCGATACTTCTTTTTTTTAATTTTAATTATATATTTAGTGTATGTTATGAATTTTATATATGTGGGTACGTGTACCCTAAACCTGTCGTTCTATATTTTTCACTTTTCAGGTTGAAAATGACATTTGAAATTGTTCTCCAAACCTAACTATGGTTTAAAAAGTTTGAAAATTTAACTTTGACTTTAAAACTTCACTTCCTTGTCACCAATAGATAAGTCCATCTTGGAACGGATAAAGATAAAATATTGTGCTTCATTAAAAAAAGAAGTGATGAAATAATAATCTTAACATTTTATATTTGAAGAATTATTATTATTATTATTATTATTATTATTATTATTATTTAATAACGAGCCTGTTACAAATACTTTTTGAAAAAAGGTCATATACAATTAAAATATATATTTATTAGAAGATTATATTTACAAATATATATATATATATGATACAACTTAAAATTTTCAGAAGTGTAGCTTCTATCTATTTATCTTCAAAATATCAAAATTGAAAATAATAATATTTTAATTATTAAATAATTAATTTACTCTATGAAATTCAAAAAGTTGATAATTAGATCAATATTGACCATGACTTTGGATACTGACGAGCAAAAAAGTGTGGCGAATGGAAAAACATTTTGGTGACAGAACATGGCCAGTTTTGCTCTTGAGAAAATGACAGAAAAATCAAATTGAAATATGTAAATCACAATAAAATCTCTGTCAAGATGTTATAATTCTTCTTTAGTTTTTTTAATTTTTTTAACATTAATAGTATCTTTTTATAAAATGATTAAAATACACTCAGTTTAAAATTAAAATTAAAAAAATATATAAAGAAAGTTGTAATTCTTTGTTTTGTTTTAGTTATTGTTAAAAAAAATAGTAGTCATTGCTTAAGCTAAAGTAATCACAAATATTTACAATACTTGAATTTCAGTGAATAAAAAAATTATATAGGAAAAGTTGTAACTGTTTATTCTGTTTTAGTCATTGCTAAAAAAAATTATTGTTTAAACTAAAGTAATTATAGATATTTATAATGTTTAAATTTCAAAGAATCAAAAAAATTGTACAAGGAAAGTTGTAATTATTTATTCCATTCTAGTCATTGTCAGAAAAAAAAGTAGTCATTATTTAAACTAAAGATATTTACAATATTTGAAATTCAATGAATAAAAAATTTGAACAGGAAAAATTATAATTGCTCATTTTATTTTAATTATTATAAAAAAAGTAATCAGTGCTTAAATTAAAGTAATCATAGATATTTATAACACTTAAATTTCAATTAATCAAAAATTTATATAAAAAAATTATAATCACTTGTTCTATTATAGTCATTGTCAAAAGAAATCACCTAAACTAAAATAGTCACAACACTTAAACTTAACTGAAAAAAATTTTCACAAGAAAAATTATAATTGTTTGTTTTGTTTTAATTATTGTTAAAAGAAAAATAGTTATTATTTAAACTAAAATAATCATAAATATTTACAACAATTAAACTTGAATGAATTAAAAAATTGTACTATAAGAATAGTTGTAATTACTTATTTAATTTTATTATAATCATTATCATAACAAAAGTAATCATTACTTATATTAAAATAGTTAATGATATTTACTTTTTTTTTAGGGCTAGGGCTGTTACTTTTTTATTTTAAACTGAGGATATTTTAATCATTTTATTAAAAATATTAATATCAAAAATATTTATAAGGATTTAAAAAGAATTATGATATTTTACTGAATTTTATTATCATTTTCATATTTTAGGATATTTCTCTGTGATTTTTCCTTTTTTTTGGAGAAAAATATTTTTTTAACAGGCTCAATATACTATATGTGTGTCTTTTGCATTTTTTATTCCAATTAATTAAATTATTTTTAATATTTGATTTAAGGACCCTTTTGTTTAAGACTAAAAAATAAGTAACTTTTAGATAGTTTAAACATTTTATGAAAAACAATTTATTTTGTAAATATTTTGAAATTGTGTTTGGTTAAAATATATATTTATCCTAATCCTTTCAAGTATCTCTTAATTCTTAAACACATATTTTCAAATATATTTTAATTTTTTTAACATCCCATTTTTCTATATTTTATTCACCTCCTCCAAAATCTCTTATATCTTTTTTGGGTGTGGTTCTAATATTTAAAGAAGCAACAGAAAAAATAACTACACGTCAAAAACAAAAATGAAAAAAAAAATAGAAAGAGGAACAATTGTTTTTTTCTAGTTGAATACACATAGGGAACGGGCTTGGTGTAGTTGATTTTGTGGAGTGGGTGGGAAGTTGGTGATCCTTATCCGATTCGGTTAGATGAGGACCGTGGAGCTCAGCCCCAAAACACTTGTTTTGTAGTGTAATTTTTTTAAATCACAACATAATAATAATAATAATAATAATAAATAACTAAATATTATAAAATTATTATTTTAACATTTAATAAATAAATAAATTTTACTTTTTAAAATTTGACCTAAATA